GAATTTATTTTAAAAGATTAATGTTTTGCGTATACCAATATAATCGGGCGAAGTATAAATTCCAAGTGTAAAAACACTGAGAGGCCGCAGTTTACGTTACCTCGAGACCATGCACTAAGTAGGAAAAGCAAGCCGAAGCGGAAGTCGAAGAGGGAGTGTCACACACTTGGTGCTACAATATATACTACAACAACTGGGTGATCAGCGAAAAAAATAGCGCACTTCTTGGCAAAACTGACTAATCTAATAAACCTTGGCCCAAGTTTAACCCCAAGTGACCATTCGCGCTCCACGCGTTGACCTTGTTATTATACACATCCCATTACGCAAATTTTTACTGGCTCTGCGTTGCCTACGTAAAAATTGTTACCGTTCTGGTTGTGAATATTTCACCATTGTCGACGTGATAATGCGTTGCCTTCGTAATAATTACGCAAACTTATTTTCCATTGTTTATGTACTGGCTGTGAATATTTCAACTTTGACGACTTGATAATGCGTTGCCTTTGTAATAATTACGCAAACTTATTTTCCATTGTTTACGTACTAGCTGTGAATATTTCAACTTTGCTGACTTGATAATGCGTTGCCTTTGTAATAATTACGCAAACTTATTTTCCATTGTTTACGTACTGGCTGTGAATATTTCAACTTTGCTGACTTGATAATGCGTTGCCTTTGCAATAATTACGCAAACTTATTTTCCGTTGTCTACGTACTGGCTGTGAATATTTAAACTTTGCTGACTTGATAATGCGTTGCCTTTGTAACAATTACGCAAACTTATTTTCCGTTGTTGTGAATATTTCAACATTGTCGACTTGAAATTGCGTTGCTTTCGTATAATTTGTATAATTTATAACTACACGACTTAGTCGAAACTGCGACTTACTGCCTCAGAGACGAACGGGGCCACTGAATAACTGTTGTTGATAATGATATTGTAAACAAACACGCACACACAAAACATTAAAGCCAGAAAAGTCAAGTCAAGAAACAACATTTCAAATGATAATAATTATGGTTTGACATCTATATCATTTTGAAATAAACTAAATTTCATGTAAATAAAATCCATGCGTTACAATTTACTGTAATTTCAAACTTGGGGCAGCGTACTTTGAACGCAGAGTATTCGATCGCTTACATTTCGAGTGAAAAAACAAAACAACGTCAGGTGCTTTTGAACTACGTGCGGTTGGCACAGTAACGGGCAATGACCTCAGCGGTTCACGCGCAATGATATTCTAAATGAGCCAGCTCACGTTATCGTACGGTATCATAAAGTCAATAATTATTCATTCAAAATGCCTTACACACATGTAACAGAAAAATAACGTCTTTTGTTTAAAGAAGATTCTGTCAACCAAGAATACATGCGCAACGCTAGATTTATGAAACAAAACAGAAAATAATCATGTCATTGTCGGTGCAATGCAGACAGCCTGACCTGTTTTGATTAGTTCGCCCGTTTCTCGTTTGCTGGCCATTTTTTCTGGAGTGTGACACAAATGGTGAACGAACATGATACTGCCAAATCAATCAAGAACCAGGATACGGCTTGGATACGCTGAAACTTTGTAAATCGTCCTCTTTTCAATTGTAAACTTTATTCCAGTGTAATAAAGGTATACCTACATGTACCATGAAAAATTGTATCGAATCACTTAGGAAATTGACGCTAAATACATGTACAATGTACTAAATACTAAACAAGCGCACATATCGTATTCATTTACAGCATCGGATTTTAAAACAATGACTCGTGGAATAACAAAAAAACTGTTAAGTACGTATTTCACACATTACCGAGGACCGCAGTTGTGACCGGTACAGCGGTAGAGGCCCCTAATTATAAGCAGTCCGCGGCTCTCCCCGGCGTTCTGCGATGCACCGCGGTAATGACCGCGGTGCACCGCCCGTTTGATTTCCTACTCTTCCCTAAGGTAAATTTAAATTGAACTCTGTCCTCTTCTAGAGCTTTTTATGTATGGGGTTACCACTATGCTTGAATTTCCAAGAAAGCAATTGGTTGAAATTGTGAGATGATGGGGTTTTTATTGGGACTAAGCTATACAAAAGGCTTGAGTAAGATTATTACATTAGATTCTTATCTTGTCTTACAGAGATGTAAATAATTCAATTATGGAGCTTCTCATCATGAGTTACTGTGCCAAGACTGCCAATGCTAGAAGAACTGTTGGAGTCATACCATATTTACCATATAGTAAACAAAGTCAAATGAGAAAAAGGGGATCAATTGTCTCAAAATTACTTGCACAAATGCTGTGTAAATCAGGTTAGTTTAAACGCATCCACTACATGGTGAAATTTTAGACTGCAGTGTTAGCTGTCAGTAGTTTAAAGACTGGTTCACACAATCAAATTAATCTGCGGTAGACACTTGCTACCAACATGTCTGTAGTTATGTGGTTGCAGCTAGAACACAAAGGCTGATACGATAAAAGCATAACAAACCTGTGCAATCCACTCATTCATATGACTGAAAATTTTCTATAGTCAAAATAGCACACAATTGGTATGGCATATGCACTACAGTATTAGCCTATATCGAAACTAGAAAAACAATGTCTGAATTGACTATTACTGTACCCTGTATTTTACTTTCAGGAATGAACCACATTATTACTATGGATTTACATCATAAGGAAATTCAAGGTTTTTTTGATATACCTGTAGACAATCTTAGAGCATCGCCGTTTATGTTACAATATATACAAGAAAATGTAAGTACAAATCACAAGTATCAACACTTGGTTGAGTTACTTTGCATGACTCCAATTTAGGGTCTCTAATGTAGCTGTCAGGCACATGAAAGATTCATTTGGTTCTAGAATAGTTGCCACAAACAGTTGAAATTGTACAATACACACTAGAATAATTTTACTGCTATTACTCAATAAAATGTAATATGCAAGGCATTAATTTAATTTTTAGGTCCGCTGTCATCGCAGATGACCCAGCAGAGCTGTTGGTATGGGGGGTCTCTCCGGTGTTGTCCGTCCCGCATCTTGTGTCCACGTGAATGAATCTTAAATGGAATCGAAAATCAGAAAAAAATGTTCAACATGCCTTCCAATTGTAATTGGTTTATTTGAATCAGTAAAACTTTACAATTTCAAGCAGTCCGTACCCAGGGTGCTCACCAAGCCATTAAAGAGTAGGGATTTAATTTTTGATAAACAATTGAGTCCATTTAGCATAACAATAGATACAATAGAGGTGATACTCTTTGCTTTTTTTCCCTTGGAGAACACCAGGCTATTAGCCAGGAAATTGTAACCGACAATCCAAAACAATTCAACTTCATGAAAATATAGTTTTCAATATATTTTGGTAAAATTATCAAAAAACAATAGACAAAAAATGGGAAAAAGTTGTGAGTCCAAAATCAAATTTGCCAGCCTGTTTGGTGGCTGGCTAATACATTGGAGAACACTGTCTGTACCCTACTTTACCAATCACACCATGGCGATGTCCGATTTGAGAAAAAAAAAAATGATTTCAATGTTAAAAATAC